TAACTTAGTAAATGAGAAGACTAACGTAAGATTCTTTATGCTTTTTGTTTCAGGAGAACCCAAACTGTTGTTTTGAGGGTTGTAGACCCACATTTTTTTTGCCAACAGTTAGAAAAAGTTCTCCAAGGAACAAATAGCCCATTCTGCCCTGGTGGTCACTGCATCTCCCTTCTGGAACGATAACCAGGTGAGCTTGAGGAGTTGGGGAGTGTAATCTGTTAATGAATGTGTGTTAGAGCTTGGTCCCTGCCTAGATCGAGTTCTAGACCTCCTGAGGATGGGAGTCTGTCCCAGCTCTGATCACTGATTCTTGACTCAGTCACTTATGCTGTAACTAGCCATGCTTTTAGCAGGGGAGGTTCTGGTCTGTTTTCTAGCATCTCAGCCCAGATTGTGACCACTGTAATGATACTTAAGGAACATTAATTGCTCATTTGTCACTGGTGAATGTCTAAAAACATCCCTGGATCATAAATGAGGGACTCATTCACAGGGCATTTTGAAGGCAGACTCTAAGCTAAGGTAAGCTCTTAGCTGGAAACTATGCAGTCACAGTGCAACATCAGGATAGTACTGCACTAACCAGCTTGCAATTTGTAGCACTGTCATTGTAGAAAGGAGAAAAAAATTGTAAAAAGGAGAAGCCACATCTGTCAGCTTGCAAATATCTTGTAAACATGAACTCAGGTGAAAGATGCTGTTTTCAAACATAGAGGTATGAAGGTATATCCATCTTTAAGCCATTAAATCATAGAGATATTAGTGTCAGAATTATTGATTATCAATGAGATCCAAATATTGCTGTCATAAAAGTCATCCTGGATCAGTCTCAGGTAACTGCCTGCAAAGCAGTTGATTCCTAGAGCAGGGAATGGATCTGGAGCCCCCTGACTACAGCTTTTCCAGTTTCTGAAGTTTGAGAGTCCTTAGGCAGACTTTGGATAACAAATATCTTTTGGGGAGAAAAGTGTCACTGATAAACTTCCAATTTTATCAGTCTTATTTCCTTTAGTTTCTTCAGTTGCTAGTTTTCAAGGCAGCCTTTGCAAGGAAACTGGCTAATGGTGCACTGCTGCACAGCTAAGAGATCTTTTTCTAGGCCACCCATGTTAGAAGAGGCCCCTGGACTCTGAAGCCTGGTTCTAGAATGGGAAGCTTGTAAAGATAGCAGTTTGTCCACTCCAGTTTAAAGCTTGTAAAGATAGCAGTTTGTTCCACTCCAGTTCAAAGCCTGTTCATACACATGCATATTTGTATAGTTGCTGCAAAGTACTCAAGACATCCCTGTGGACTTAGCAAACCAGTTAAAGTTGCAACTATTATGTACCTAGAAATAGCTCAAGCACAGCTTCGAACACAGCTTATTTCCCCAAAGATGCATGTGCAGGAGGTTGGATAGGGATAGTGCAAGCCAAGAATAGCTCAGCTAACGCTAACCCTTCCTGAATATTGCCATGGGATTTTTAAATGCTTCTGAGCTCCCAAAGGGATGCTGAAAGATTTGACCTCAGTTTAGCATCTCATCCAAAAAGCAGTAAGTAGTTCTGACAGTGCAGGTCTCCCTGAGTGCTGTGTGGAAACTTCAGACCTGGACGTGAGCCCAGCCTTAGTGTTGCACAGAAACGCAAGACTTTGGGGGCCTAGAATGATTTCAGATGAGCCATACTCTGACGGATGGGGAGTGCAGGAATCAGAGTTACTGACAAGGAAATTATTCCTAAAATTACTGGTGGGGAAAATGGAAGGAGGAACAATTTCAATTATTTGCTGCTACCAAGATATGCGAGACCTGTTCAGGGAACAAAGGAAGGCTTCATTTCTTAATCTGGTCACTCTGACACTTCCCAAGAGCTTTAAATTGGAAGGAAAAGAATAAGAGGCTTGCTCTATGAATAGCTCATATATCAGAGTGTGGGACAACGTGATCAGCTTTAGGTAGTTTGACATTATTGTTCATCACATCTGCCTGAGGGCCTCAATCAACACTCCAGCCTGGTGGTGCTGCGCCAGCAAGCGCAAACGCAGCCCCTGCCCTCGAGCATTCGCAGCCTAGGATTACAGTGGGATGACAAGGGGGGAGGCAGCCAGAGGTGTGAGGCAGCGAGATACTGGTATAACGAGCACATTTGCATACCATCAGCCGTCACAGCCAGCTGCCTCCCCAGGCTCTGCCAGGCAGCAGTGCTTTGCAGGATTCATGGCAGAGGTAAAGCTTAAAAGAGGATTTGATGGAAGACAAGATGGTACCTTGTGGGGAGATTTTTACCATGATTTAGAGGGCAGGCTGTGAGAAAGCATAAAAGTGTCTGCAGGAGAAGTGACAGAATCTGTTATCTTCAGTGAGAAGAAAGTTTTCTGCTGTGACAGAGTATTAGATTTAAGAGCCAAGAAGAGACCAAGCAGTGAAGAGGCTTAGAGGTAAAGGCTTGAGCTTTTCTCCCAATCCCACAGTAATATTTATAGTATCAAAACATGTGCTATCAAGATGAAAAACTGAAATCTCAGAAACAGTGCTTTGATGCTTTTTAGCTGGTGGAGATCTCGGAAGAAAGTCCATTGTATTCAACTTCATTATAAAAAGAAACTATAAATCCTCTCTGTTTACCTCATGAATGATCCCTCATCGCAGCTGGGGAGTCAGGATGTTCCAGCTTTCACTTAAATGTCACTTTTCACGCTCAGCCCAAGGTGCCGCATGACCACCGCTGCAACTTTGGGTACACCAGTGAAATTGCCACAGCGCTGTCGTGCAGGTGCTGTGTAGTCCCAGTTCTGGTCTGTACTTCCAGTTTTGGGGTGCCCTTGGGCCAGCATCTGTGCCACCCATGCCTTGGGCGTGAGGGAAATAGGAAAGATTTTATTGGGGTTGTAATGTCCTGGTGGGGATGTGCCCCAATACCCTTAACATAAGAGCTACTCCCGCTCTGCAATTCCATGAACCGAGCATGAAATGTATTTTTACTATGTTAAGTTTAGGTTTAAAAAGGAAATAATTTTGAAGCAGAAAGCCAGAAATTATCAATTTGAAAATTTCAAAACATTTTTCAAATAAAAATATCCTAAAATGGGGTCTCTACCTCCTCTATGGAAAATCTTCTCCTTGGTGAACTTATATTTTCCAGTTAAGAAAATATTAGCTTCAGTGAAGAGAAAAGCTGGTACAGAGCGGGGAGAAGTGAATAAAGAGGAAATGTGGTTAAAAGTTGTTCCTTGCAGGACAAGTAGATTTAGGACAAGGCTAAAGAAGGGTGGTCACAGTAACTGGTATGAGATGCTTAGAGCAAGGAATTTGGCAGCTGAGAATGGCAGAAACAGATTTTTTAAATGGTATTTAATGGAGTCAGAAGCCGATTGCATGGGTCTAGAGGAATGAATCAGTGATAACACCCAAGCTACCAGGGCTGGCTGCTTGGTGTTACTGTTGTGATAGAGAAAGGACAGGATTCAGGAGAACAGGGTAAGATTTACTGAGAACGATCAAGAGCACAGGATAGATAGGTAGGTAGACAGATAGATATGTGTATATATAGATATATGTGAATATGTTATTTATCAGGAGTAGAGGCCAAGGTGTGAGATCAGATGGCTAAGAATGATCATGAATAAAGGTCTGCATTTGTAATTTGTGTATAGGCAGATACTTAATCAGACCAAATCCTGTATGGTTATCTCTGCAAGAGCAATGCTAAATCTTGTTTGCCCCAAAGAACAGTCTCTAAAAATTACCTTCCCCTTCTTTCTGTTTTTTTTGATGTATAAGGATGGCAGTACTATAATTAATCCCCTCTTGACTCTGCTCATGGATGCTGTAACTTCATATAGCATCATAGTTACACACTGAACAACCTGAAATTTTAGCATCTTACTTAAAAAGTTGAATTAATGGGAGCAAACCATTCCCCTAGGGCTGCACAGGAGAGACAGGTTATAGAGCACGTTGAAAAGAAAAATGTTAGCCAGCAATGTAGTCATAATTCTGAGAAGGAGTTTCTGCTCATGGAAAAAAAAAAAAAAGGTTGTGTGCCTGACCTTCCTGGACACTGAGTGCCCCCAGCTTTATCATGAAAGCATTTAAAATTGAGTCCCTATTGGACCGGCTAAAGCAAACACAGGGCACGGTCGCTTTGAAGTTCTATGCATGCTTCTCAGTGCTGCGCCTGCCCTCAGCTGTGCCATTCTCTCTGGAACAAGAACTGCTAGTGTCTAGTTCGTGATGGGAAATGTGTTTTGGGGGGAGATGTGACCCCTGAACTTAGCTTTGCTTTGACAAAAGCACTTTTATCATCCGCGCTCCATTATTGTATTGCATTCAGCACGAGCACCGTCGGTGTTGTTCTGGAGTATAGCTCGTGGAGCTTTGAAAGGGGAACAGAGGTGCAGGCTGAAAAGGGGGGGTGAAGTGTACTCTGAGTTCGGACTCAAGTTCCCACTCAGAGTTTAAGTGCCTGCACTCCTGCAGCTGTTCCTGGCAGCCCTGAGACTGGGATCACAGAAATGCCCAGGAAAGCAGGCATGGGTGCTTTTGATGCTTGTAACTCAGAACTGCTCAAATGGCAGCTTGTGCACTGAACAATTCCTGGCCTTCACCAAAGTCTCACCTGCAACGTGTCCTGCAGTTTCTGAGTGCAATCCCATGTTTCTTCCTGGTTTCCCATAAAGCAGGTGTAATTTGTCATGGTTATTTTCAGGCACTAGGGAAGAAAGTTGCTTGAATCAGGCACCGCATCAGCAGACTTCGGCAAAACCATTCAGCAGACTTCAAGAGAGATGCATCGAACGGCCCGGCTTTAAAAGCCTTACCCAGAGCAGGTAAGTCACTGCTGGAACTCACATGTCAAAACAGAAACATCTTTCCCCAGACCTGGGAGACACAGCCTGTTCCTCTTTAAATCTGTGCTGTGTGCTGCAGTGCTCTGCATTGTTGCCATGGCAGAAATCTCCCCATAGTAATAACCTCTTTCAGAGAAGGTTAAAAAGAGACAGTGCACATGCTCAGAAATGCTGCACTTGTTCTGTTAGCAGTTTGCAGCGGCCATTTCAAAGAGACCGTCACAAAGACAAGAGAGAGATCAGGTACTTATATTTTTTTCCTTTGTTAGAGGGGATTACTTTTCTCTTTCACAGAAGTCCATGCACAGATCTGTTTCCATTCCCAGTTGCACTGCAGAGAGAGACCACCCTTGAAGCCTGTCGTGATTATTCCTTGCAGATAGCAAATTCCCACAAAATAACTAAGAGGCAGTAGTTAGATGTGGCCTGAGGTGACTGCTGCACTCAGGGAGCAATTATTTTGCAGCAGGGCTCGCATATGAAGCTGAGCTGATGCTGGGGTGGGTGATGTGTAAGGTACCCCGAAGAAGTTTAATAGCTTATCTGCTTTGTTTTGTTGAACCTTTCTAGCACTCCTAGTCAACTATGAGAA